CAGGTCTTACCTTGTCCGCAATCCCCGCTGCGGCTGCCGACTTCCATCCCATGCGAGCGGCAGCGTCGCAGGGGGGTGGAGCCGGCGGGAAGTTTGAAAGAGAAAAAATATATATCTTTTTTTTTTTAAATAGAGAAAATAAAAATCATACCGCCAGTGAAACGCGCGTTTCACTGAACGGAAAAACGATCTGAAAGAATACGCCCAGGTGTGAACCCAGCCTAAAGGGTCACCTTGTGACTTGTCATCAAATTTATAGTCTGGCTGGTGAAGAGACTGAGGAGATGCTTCCTCCTGCCTGCAGCAGTCTGATCACTGGGAGAGGGGAGACTGAGGTCATGCTGCCTCCTGCCTGCAGCATTCTGATAACTGGGTGAGGGGAGACTGAGGTAATACTTCCTCTGCCTGCAGCAGTCCAATCACTGGGAGAGGGGAGACTGAGGTCATGCTGCCTCCTGCCTGCAGCAGTCCGATCACTGGGAGAGGGGAGACTGAGGTCATGCTTCCTCCTGCCTGCAGCAGTCCGATCACTGGGAGAGGGGAGACTGAGGTCATGCTTCCTCCTGCCTGCAGCAGACTAATGACATCATTTCAGCCTAGGTCACTGGACTGGAGCTCAATGGTGGCTTTTTGATGATGAAAGGTGGAACTTATTGGAATACTATTGCTACGTATGCACCATGTCAGGAGTATACTCCTGAAGTATCTGGAAGGTCTCATCTAAATGAGCGCAATGGCGTTTTATTGTTGCAGTAAATTGACATGTCTCAGTTGTCACCCACAAGCCATAGTAAAAAGACATCACTGAGCCTTGTGTATCATTTCCTACATTTTGGAGAATTCGGGGGGTGTGACAGCATAATTTAAAGGAGAACTATGGGGTCATGGCTTTTCCCCATAGTTCTCCTTAGGGTAACGGGAGGACACAAACTAGCGTCCTCCCGTCACCCTAGGCTCAGTATATGGGGAGCTACAACTCACGGTATACTGAGACGCCGCAGCTTAAGCGGATCCCGACATCGATGTCGAGATCCGCCCAGCTGCGTGAGTGACAGCTGGCTCTGCCTATCTAGAGGCAGAGCCAGCTGTACCCGCCCCCTCCCCCGTCCGTTCCGCCAGTCAGCGCTGGCGGATCGGAGCCGGGGGAATCCAGCCCCTCCCCCTGTCACGGCAGAGAGCCGTGACAGGATCGAGAGGTGAGCGAACGCCGGTATGTGTTCGCTCACTTCCCGATCTACTGAGCCGAACTGTGACAGTCTCATTGTCACAGGTCGGCTAGAACTATGAGGTGAGTGAAAAGCTCATAGTTCTCCTTTAAGCCTTGGGGGGTCCCTGAGAGATACAAGGACCTCACGTTGCCAGCAACCATGCCCAACAGAAATGTCAGTGCTGGGTGTAGTTAGGGCTTTCAATAACCCCGGGTCACGTTCACACAGGAGAAATAAAATCCTTCGCATTTCACAGCCGACACACGAGAGGAAATCTCAGAGTCTGCAGCGGATTGGTCCCGACGTTCCTGCGAGGGCCCCCGGCTGCGAGGAATCGTGCAGGCAAATGAATAATCACGCGCGGTGCCAGCGACTTCGGCCTCCAGCCCGCTCTCCGTCAATCAATCCGGTCCCGGGGGGGCGATGAATAATTCCGGCTCATGCCCGGGGAAGAGTGATGAGAACCAGAGCAGGCCATCCTCTGCCAGTTTATTCGGGAGGACGCTGCCACGCTATCTGCCTGTTAGCGGCAAATTACTACCAGCAGCTGATTATACGTCGTGGCGGGATGAACTCTTGTATGGGATTTAATGGGGAAGCCGATCGAGAAACTTAGATTGTAAGCTCTCAGGATCAGGGCCCTCTATATTGAATTGTAACTGTCCTGTCTCCCCTTATTTTGTACAGCGCTGCACAAGGTGTTGGCGCTATATAAATCCTGTATAATAATAATAAGACAAAACCGAATAGCAAAGTTGTATCTGATGGGGACGCCGTCCCTTGCCCCTCTCCTACATCCTGAAACCAAACTCTGACCCATAAAAGGTGCTGACCTCCACAGCAGTGACATGTATTATAGGGAAACACAGTGGTGCAGATGTTAGCACTCCTGACTTGCGGCAGTGGGTTTGAAGACCGGTCAGGACACTATCTGCATGGAGTTTGCGTGCATGACACGTATTGTCGTTATCGATTAGGTGGTTGCAGCCCTCCATTCATATCTAAGGTCCCCTATTGTACATACATACACAGGGGCAATTCATCTTCTAGCATGTCTTTGGGGGGGGGGGGGGGGGGGGATTAGATTGTAAGCTCCTTGAGGGCAGGGACTGATGTGAATGTAGAGCAGCAACCAACTGATCGATTAATCGATAACGAGAATACTTGTCAATGATTTTCATGATCGATTAGTTGGTTTGATCCCCTCTCTCCTCCACGCTGGGAGGAGGGCACAGCAAGCAGTGGGCGGGTGCAATATTCAGCCTGCTATTGGCTATTGCAATTTGGAATGGCCAATAGCAGGCTGGCTATTACACCCGCCCATTGCTTGCTGTATTTACATTCAGCTGCCGTCTGCAGAATCTTACCACTGGGAGCCGTCATTCCCAGGCTGAAGTTATTCCGGCGCCGTGTTTTTTAATCCAATTAATTAAAAAGAATAAAATCGGCCAACTAATCGATTATCTCAGCTCAACCTAACCACTGAACCATCACGTTCTCAAACCATTCATCCCCACACAGCTCCCTCCTCATGTATCACACACTAATGCAATCAAGCCCTTAATGTACTCATGTTTACATGCGTTTAGCTGCAAAAAAAAAAAAACAGGTTAAGAATGAAGGTCACAGAGTGTTCATGTAAAAACAGCTCCACTGAATGCATCTAGGTGCTACTGAACATCTAGGTGTGCATTCTGCCATAGAAGAGCATACTTTTAGAAATGTGCTCCACATGCATCTGCACACACGTATTTTGAAGTCTGTGTGAATGAGGCCCTAATGACATGCAAAAGTGATCTGAGAAGCATAAAGATGGTTACAAGCTTCCAGATCAAATCATTTGCGTTTAAATAAAAAAAACACAGAAGGACTGTGTGAATGTCGCCTAAGCCGTCAAAGCGCCTCCCTCCAACAAACGCCCAATGTAAAAATATAAGACTGTTACAGGACGTACGACAGATGTCATATTATTGCATGACATATGCCGCCATTCAGCCCTGCCCTGGGCTGCTTGTCTAGGATTTTATCAGCCAGTGGGGGGCGCTCACGCAGCTGTATTCCATGTAATGTACACCACACACAGGCCAAAATGTTTTTCCTCCAGCCATCCACCAGTGACAGCCATAGCTCGTCAACTCCGTGTAGGTCTAACAACCCCCTTGCTTAGTAATAGACATTATACAATGGTCACCTTTATATTTCCTTCTCCTGAGCAAAGTAGATCCGGATTACCAAATGTGAAGCTGTACAAACTCCAGAACGTCCCATCCCCTCTATAGTTCCTGATCAGACTGTAAATAACAGTCTTTGCCTTGTCACGGTGCTGCAGAATAATGCTGATTAATGATCATGAAACATGGAGAGATGTTGGCTATTCATCTTCAACTGTATCTCCAAACCCGGAAACAAGACGACAGCCGGCAGCCAAATCTGAATGTGATTGAAGTTTGAAATGACGCTACTGCCATCTTCTGGTGAGAGATAGGTATGCGCGTACATTCCCAAATTTCACTCTTACTCATCTCTGGTGGAGGGTAATTAATGGACGTCACCTCGGGATTTTCTTTCACACAAAGCAGCTCAAGGCTAAGTCCACCTTTCTGACCATGTATCATGCTATGCCGATAGTCAGGGTGTACCATGAAGCATGGTCACAATTAGGGATGCACCGATACCGGTATTTCAGTATCGAGTACGAGTACCGATAATTTGTTTTCCGGTACTCGCCGATACCGAATACAGATACTGGAAGTCCCAATAAGGAAGCCGAATAAAGACTCGCCACCCGGCTTTCCGATTAGCAGGGAAGCTGTCCCCATGCTTCTCGTCACAAAGTGATTGGACACTAAGTGATTGGACAGAAAGCCAGGCGCTGTGTAATGACACAGCGCCCGGCTTCCTGATTGGCCAGGAAGCTGGTTTCATGCTCCCTCGCCATGAGGGGACGAGGGAGCATGAAGCCGGCTTCCCGGCCAATCATTACACGGTGCCCGGCTTCCTGACCAATCAGGAAGCCGGGAACTGTGTAATGACGGGAAGCCAGCTCCATGTTCCCTCGTCACAAGGACGCTCTGCCCGGCTTCCTGATACAGGAAGTATTGGGCTAGGCATCGGAGCATTTGGGTGAGTACTCGCCTAAATACTTGGCGATACTAGTATCGGTGCATCCCTAGTCACAATGCAACCCTTCCAACCCCCATCGTTTTTCCACTTAACGTTATTGCCTTCACACAAGGGCTAACAAGTCCCTGTGTGATAACATTCGGAGGTGACAGGCTCTCTTTATGGAGCCGGTCCTCCAATGTTCAATCTTTTGTACAGCTCCCCCTGTGACATCTGAGACAGAAGCGCTTTGAGTAAAATTCCTGCGTCACTGATCGCACAGAGCAGATCGGAGAACGAACGTTCTCCGGTCTGCTCCCCACTCTCCTTCCTGAAGTAATTTGCCTCTTGTGGAGGACCCCAAAAACCATGGTGGGGAGGGAGGCTGTCGGTGCGCGGGGTGGAACGGACCATGGAGGGGGGGGGAGGCAACGGACAATCAGGCTGCTTACAACTGACAGCCGCCCAGATCACATGTACAAAACGGCTCCCCTGTTCTACATTTATCCATGCTGTTTGCCCGCATGGCTAAAAGTAGGGGGGGGGGGAACACCTGCCCGGCACCCGGAACTTCATGCCCTGGGCGTCGGGCGAATTCTGCACCCCTGGTAAATATAAATGTGCTATATACACCATACACGTAGTACATATACTATACACATAAGCCAATGGCCGGAGAAGTGTACCCACCTCTAGTCTCTTCTCCAGAGACTCTATCCTGTCCTTCTTGCTTGCCAAGTTGGCTCGGGTGTAACGTCCTTGTCCAGGCAGATACAACACTTGGCTGTAACATTCCTCCCACACCTGATTGTAGGCGTCCAGAGAGAGGTCTCCGTGCCCCATACCTTGCTTGACCACCTCCATCTCTTGCTTCAGCAGATCCTCTGCCTGAACGGAAAGGAAACAACAAAGGTCAGGAAGAACCTACTTCCTATAGCAGAATAAATCAGACATGTGTGCTGGGCAATGGTATATTGGAGGTTATACGATAAGGCATTTCTGACACATTACTGGTAGTGTGGATGCTGTCGGAAGCCATGTGCTAAATTCATGAAGGCCTTGAAACACTTTCATCATAAATACCAACATGTCCGCCAAAATCAAGTAGTTCATAGTGGTGACAATTTTATTGTCTGCCGGTATTGCTGCAACATATTCAATAAGGTGTATGGGATCTAAGAAAAGTGGAGGAAAGTACGACCTCTTCCATGATGGTGTTAATTCTGTGGACTGAGGATGAACTGGTCCACAGTGTCCGCACATACAGAGGTCAGTGGGGGCTTTAGTTAAAGCTCATTTACTGATGTTAATTATATGTAAACATTTTAAGTAGGGATGAACCAATACCTATACTAATATCAGTACCGATACCAAGTATTTGGACGAGTACAAATGCTCCAATGCCTAAACTTCCGGCATCAGGAAGCCGGGCAGCAAGTCATTACACACTGTCCAGCTTCCTGTTTGGCCGGGAAGTTGGCCAATCAGGAAGCCAGGCGGCGAGTCATTAGCTGCCCTCCCCCCCCATATATCGGTGTATCCCTAACTTTAGGAGACCATGCAACTAACAAAAAAATTGCAGGCAAAAGCAAAAAACTAAAAAAAAATGCTTACCTTGCAGTGTTTGTCCTTTCTAAAAATTATTTTATTCACTTGCAATGGGCCTTTAAGGGTGCTAGAAAATTTGACTACACCAGTAAGTGATGATTCCCTAGCACAACCCTCTCTCTCCTTGCATGTCATAGCCTATTCCTTTTCTGGGAGTGTGAAATTACGGTCTGTGATGACCCAGCTCCTCCATCCTTCCCCTCACCAACTGGAGCGGAGTGGAGTTGGGCATCAAATTAAAAAAGAGAACTATGAGGTAACCTTTTTATCCAATAGTTCTCTTTAGGGTCACCAGAGGACATATACTAACTGCCTCCCGTGTCCCAAAGCTCAGTATAAACCGAGCTATATACTGACAGCGCCGCAGTTGGGACGGATCCCGACAATACTGCCGAGATCCACCCAGCTGGGTGATTGACAGCAGGCTCTGCTTATCTAGAGCCAGCAGTGCCCGCCACCTCCCGATCTGTTCCTCCAGTCAGCGCTGGAGGATGGGAGAGGGGGGAATACCCGCAGGGAGCTGTGACTGACAGTCACCGCTCTGTGCAGGGAGATGAGCGGGAAGTGAGCGAGAGACGGTATGTGTTCGCTCAGTTCTCGATCTATAGAGCCGACGTGTGATAGTTTCATTGTCACGCGTCGGCTCTAACTATGAGGATAAGTGAAAATCACTCGCCTCATAGTTCTCCTTTAAAGAAGGTACCAGAAGCCCTAAAATACTTTCTTTCATTGCAGAAACCACAGCAGCTGGTCACATGACCAAATGGTATCGGATCATGTGATCGCTGCTGTCAGCTTAGAGTGGCTGAGTAGCTTCATTTTCAGGAGACAACATGTGAGCAAGTCCTTGTCATGTGAATTTGGAAGTATTTCAGAGCTTCCATTAGCTTTTTTGACTATAGGTGTACAGAGCAAGCAGAGTAGCGAGGGGGTTCTTACTGGACAATAGTCCCCCATACACCAGAGAGGAACTATCATACCCCATATATATAACAGAAAATTTAATAAATGACATATGCATGAACATTTTCTTAGTTACATAGTATTTGAGGTTGAATAGACTCAGGTCCATCAATTTCAACCTTTATGTGTCCGTGTGTGTTTGTGTGTAGTGCGTGACCTGCAAGCAAATGTAAGTACAACCATTTCGTAGAGTTGGGGTGTCAAAAAGAGATCCCCTCTGAGTGGCTTTCCAGCATCTCATCACAAGACTGTAACTTCAGGAGGAATGGACAGTGAAGGAAACTTCCTTTACTTACATATTTCAGCTCGTCTTCTGTCAGTTTTTCATACGGGTTCTGTTCCAAGAAGGCCGCATGCTCAGTACTGGTTGGGACCGAGCCGGGCAGCTTCCCTTTCTTGTTGGCTGTATTGTCACCGTATGGATGATGGAGAGAGTCAAAGTGAAGCATTGTAATCATTTCCCTTTTGATCATCTCTTCTGCGTTCTGCAGATCCGTCAGCGGTGGTTCCACAGTCACAGGTCGCAGTATAGTTTCATTGACCTAGAAGAGAGGACACATCAGTGAACGGTGGTTGAGGGGATATTAGGAGATCAGTGTTGGACAGATTGAGTTTGAGGAAGTGGTATGACATCAATGTCAGCGAGTATATCAGTGATACATGGGGAGACAAGGGGTGAGCTGAGGGGTAGGGCAATAGATTTGGGTGTCATCAGCATAGAAATGGCATTGGAAGCTGTGGGAGGTTATCAGCTGACCCATCTATAAATGGAGAATAGAAGGACCACAGGGCCGAGTCCTTGGGGGACCCCTAAAGAAACCGGAGGTGTAGAGAAGGAGATAAGAGTTGTCGGGGACACTGAAGGTGCACCGAGATAGCTGGGAGGAGAACCATGTATCAAATTGGCCTTTTAAATATTTATATTTTTCAGACTTCAGTAAAAAGAGTGAGATAACCAATGTACTGCTGGTCCTAAAATATATATTTAATGGCTTCATAAAAGTGTTTTGTGGCTCTTCATTTAGACTGACTAGCTTATGAATTCTGAAATAACACTATGATTATTTTTTTTCCATTACAGGTTTCCTTCCATTTTAAGATTTCTTGATCCCGGATACATTTACAACACTGCTTAGTGAAAACAGACACATCGTGGTTTTGCTCACCTCTGAGGGTCTGGGTAATACCCTCTGCACTGCCCGGTGCCTCTGTTTTAACTCTTTTGCCCGCTGAGCATCTCTTATCGCCTATGAAATCAAACAATCACATTATTATTATTATACAGGATTTATATAACACCAACAGTTTTGCACAGCGTTTTACAATATAAGGAAGACATTACAGTTACCATACAAAACAACACAAAATAGTAAGGAGGGCCCTGCCCATGAGGGCTTACATTTTAAAAGGGAGGGGCAAGTGATAGATGAGGAGGTAGCTGTGTGGGGATGAATTGTTTGAGAATGTGATGGTTCAGTGGTTAGGTTGAGGTAGAATAGGCTTCCCTGAAGAGATGAGTCTTTAGGGATCACCTAAAGGCAGACAGACAAAGTAGGAGATAGATGGAGAGGTTGGGCTAAGGCAATGGTCTAAAAGTACTGGCCCGTGGGCCAATTGCAGCCCGCGAGCCTGTACTGTGGCCCGCAGCCAACTCACAAGGCAGGTATGCGGTCACAGGCACGCATGTAGCTGCAGGAGCAGCTACACGTTTTGCATCTCTGTCTGATGAAGACCGCATAGCTGCTTCTGTGGCGGCACTCAGATCCTTTCGGTCAACGCTCCGATATCTTTCAGTGAATGCTGACAGGATTGATTAGTAAAGTCCGCAGCAGACCTCACCAATCACCCACTGATCACCAGGTATTGTGCCTCCTCCCTGCAAAAAGGTAAGCAGGAGAGGGAGCTGTATTTTATTTTACATGTGGGTGTGTGGTGGGGCGGGACCGGGATTGTATTATTTTATGTGTGTGTGTATTATTTTATATGTGCAGGGGTAGTATTTTTTTTGTGTGTATGGGGGGGGGAGTAGTAGAAGTGTATTCCGCTCCATTCACACCTGTATCTTTATTTGCAGTTAGGGATTCCTGCGTCAGGAACTTGCGTTTTCCTGCAGCAGGAATCCCTAATCTGGCATTTACAAGCGGCAGCTGTCATCCATTCAAGTTAATGATCAGGTGACAGCAGCTGCATCTAAACACCTGCACACCACATGTAATGGTATGTGATATGATTACATTTGGTTAAGAATCAATCACTCTTCCTGGACGCAATGATTGTGCATTCAGAGAGAGTGTTTTCTAACCGCATGTAATAATATCATTACATGTGGTGTGTCGGCATTTACATGCAGCGGCTAACACCTGATCATTAACTTGAATGGATGACAGCTGCCGCTTGTAAACACCAGATTAGGCATTCCTGCTGCAGGAAAACGCACGTTTCTGACAGAGGAATCCCTAATTGCACCTAAACCTACAGATATGAATAAGGGCCTTATTGCGTGTGTGTATTGGGGTCCGTAGTACCAAACCAGATCTAGTTACATTTTATTTTAAAGTATGACATTTGGCAAGCGGCCCCCATGGGAGTAAAAAATTTGTTGAGTGGCCCCCAAGTGAATTGAGTTTGAGACACCTGGGGTAAGGGGTTCCATAGGATGGGAGAGACTCTACAGAAGTCCTGGAGGAAAGCATGGGAGGAGTTGACGAGGGAGCTAGAGAGCAGGAGGTCTTGGGAGAAGCGGAGGGGACGGTTAGGGTGATACTTTCAGACCAGGTTTGAGATATAGTCGGGGGCGGATTTTCTGGATGGCTTTGTAACCGATTGTTAATATTTTGAATTTTATCCTTTGGGCGAGTGGAAGCCAGTGCAGGGATTGGCAGAGGGGGGATGCAGACACTGAGCGCTTGGTTAGGTGGATGAGTCTAGCAGCAGCATTCATGATAGACTGCAGGGGGGAGGAGCCTGTGTAGAGGTCAGCCAATGAGAAGGGAGTTGCAACAGTCAAGACGAGATATAACAAGTGATTGGATGAGAAAGTTTTGTGGTTTCATTGGTGAGGAAGGGGCGTATTTTGGAGATGTTACGAAGGTGAAAGCGGCAGGATTTGGATAGTGAGTGGATGTGGGGCAGAAAGGTGAGGTGAGAAAAAATAATAGGGATGCACCTATACCGGTTTTTCGGTATGGAGTACAAATATTTATATTTGGTACTCGCCGATACCGGTACTTCCGAATGCATAGAGTCGGCGTCCCGGCCAATCAGTATTGAGCTGGCCAAACAGCATGGAGCCAGCTTCCCGGCCAATCAGGAAGCTGGGCGGCCGAGTCATTACCCACGGCCCGGCTTCCTGATTGGCCGGGAAGCCGGCTCCATGTTCCCTCGGGGCACTACTGGTCAGAGGAAATCTCCTTCTGACCAGTAGTTCCGGTATCAGAGGTAAGTATCGGAGCATTTGAGCGAGTACGAGTACTGGCCCAAATACTCTGAATCGGCACCCATACTAGTATCCATATAGGTTCAATCCTGAAAAATAAACACATTTTAAAACAAATATAAATGTGACCTTCGATATACACATTCATAAAGCTGAAACATCTAAAGCTATGGTGGCATTAGGGGTGGCAGAGGTCTTCCTACACACAAATGTATTCCTTGCCATTATGTAACAGTATTTTGCGCGAAATAACAATGGTCAAAAACATTACTAACCAGAAGGGTGGGTGTTGCATACATTACCCCTGCTGACATGTGCTGTCACTTTAAAATGAATGAATAAAGTCATTCTACAGGTACATGGCCCTTTGGGCAACATGAGCCCCAACAGTGAGCTGCTTCTGGCCAGAGATATCAATGTAAGGGGGTAAGACTCAATACCAGGGGTGGGCAACTCTGGCCCTCCAGCTGTTGTGGAACTACCAGTCCCATGAGGCATTGCAAGACTGACAGTTACAACCATGACTCCCAGAGGCATGTTGGGATTTGTAGCTAAAGCACAAGTGGAGGGGCGGATTTGCCCACCTCTGCTCAATACCGTTCGTCTGGACCTCACCTGTTTGCAAGCCTCGACGTCTGCAGCATCTTCTACAGAGGTCTCTTCATTGTCGTGCTCCTCCAGTTCCTTCTCAGCGTTTTCTGGCAGGACAATCTCAAAGTCGTTCTTTGGGGTGGGTAGAGACAATAAACCGAGGCGGAGCTGTTCTCGCGATTCTCTTTCCTGTGTGTACAAAATGAGATGCTTTATAGATCTAAGTAATGAAAGCCATAGAGAAGGCTACAAGACTGGGCGTCCGGTAAATTGAATAGTCTGGGTGTTGCTTAGCAAAGAGACACTATCGTTATTAAAAAAGAGAACTAAAGCCAAAAACATTTTTTTTTGGCATTACTTCTATTTTGGGTCACAGGAGGATATTTACTAGTATATTCCTGTGACCCAAAGTCAGCATATAGCAGGCTACTGCCATCTACATGCCGACAGTGCAGAGCCGCGCTGTAGCCGGGAAGGATCTGGACAATATTGTTGGGATCCGCCCACTGCCTGATTGACAGCTGGCTCTGCCTCTCTAGAGCCAGAAATAGTGTTTCCCCGAAAATAAGACACTGTCTTATATTTTTTGGGGCTCAAAAAAACACACTAGGTCTTATTTTCGGGGTAGATCTTATTTTTTTTTAATGTACAACAATCCAAAGTCAATGCAAATCCAAAATGGCAAAGTTAAGAATAGGGTGATCAGGGCAATCAGGGGTGCCGTACCTTTCCAAGAGCAATTTGCTAACCAATCGCTGGCCAGAATGAGCAAAACGCACTATCGATTCCTCACAGGCGGAGTGCATTTGGTATCACTCCGCCTGTGACGGGAGCCGGCGCTATAGAGGAAACATCATCTTATGCGGCTCTGCTCCCTCCGGTGCCGCCTCGCTTCCTCTAGCGCTGGCTTCATTGGCACCGCTGAGTCTCTCCCGCGGCTCTTCAAGTTCCCCCTTATGCAACCACCGGCCCTGGGAATGGTCACAACTAGGTCTTACTTTCGGGGTAGGTCTTATATTTTAGCAATTCCAAAAAATAGTACTAGGTCTTATTTTTGGGGTAGGTCTTATTTTAGGGGAAACAGGGTAGCTGTGCCCATGTGCGCTAGAGGAACAGAGAGAGGGGAGGGGGGATTCCCTGCGGGGAGCGGTGACTGACAGTCACCACTCTCTGCATGTAGAAGACCGTGAACTGAGTGATCAGTGGTTTGTGGTCGCTCAGTTATCGAACCAGAGAGCCAGTGTGTGACAGCTGCAGTATTGGGAAGAGTACATTTGACTCACCCAATACTTTTTCTTTAAAGAAGAACTATGAGGTGAGTGATTTACAGTCATCCTCATAGTTAAGAGCCAATGTGTGCCATTCACTTCTATGGACCGCCACGCCCCCCTCTTACCCCACAACATAGTGAGCCGGCCGCAATGCGATGCAGTGCGTGTTCTGGCCAGAACGCACTGCATCTGGTGTGACTGACCCCTTAGAGAGCGCAATATATAACTGCGTGAACGCTGGTACATTTATTGTGGCTGGAATTTATCTTTAAACTGAACGTTCAATTGGCCTTTAACTATAGTCTGAAGAGAAACATTTCTAAGACTAGACTGGAGAAAGTTTATACTGAAAGTCATAACACAGCGAGATAATAACGTAGACATATTAGTGCCTTTACCAATTGCTTTATGTAAGCCGGGTCATTATAATCCACCGATCCGTCCTCTGGGTTAATGTTCAGCTTGTCTCGCAGCGGCGTCCGGCCTGGTGTGGCGCCAATAACCGGCTTCGGAGTCATGGCACCACGAGGGGTTAAACCCTCTGAGCTCTGAGAGGGCGTTCTAGAAAAGGAATAAACAACGAGAAGACGTTTAATGCAGATAGAAAAATACAAAAGACATTTAAAAGTAGATGAAAATTGACAAGAAAAACCCAAAGAAAATATACTTGCACATTTCAACACAACCAGAGCGACTTCTAAGTAAGGAGGTTGTTTTTTTTTTTTTAAAGTGACACTAAACTCAGGAATTAAACCTTAAAAATGCATTCAAGTCCCTTATCTATGAACAACAATGTACCTTTTTTTGTGCATCACTCGGCTGTAGATCCTCCAATCATCTCTGACACTGTCCTTCCTTCTGGAGGGGGGGCTACTTGTGTTCCCCATGGTCCCTGTGTGTGTTGTAGAGTAGTCACCGCTCCAAGCTCGCTCCTGTGATGGACTACAATCTCCATACAAATTGGTAACCTATGTGAGATTGTAGTCCATCGCAGGAGGGAGCTTGGAGCGGTGACTACTTTACAACTCCTCACAATGGTCACAGCCCATGTGCAGATCCAGGAACTCCGCACAGAGATGTAACAAATAGTGTTTGGTTGAAAGTCTATCTACTAACTTGAGTTACACATATATTTCTATGCAGGAACCACCAGAGTACACTCACTGTAACTTCCAGACTGGTAGTGACAACTGAAACCCACAATGAACGTCTTTTATTTGCCTCCCCCGTCATGAAGATGAGGATTGTAGTCTAAACACTTCCTGTCCTGGAGTGACAATGCTGCTCCTCTATAGATACAATACAGTGAGTGTTGTCACCCTAGGACCCTAATGTCTTAGACACTACTCATGTACATCAGTTCCTGTCCTCGAGGAGCTCACAATCTAACACTTCCTGTCCTGGGGTGACAACACTGCCCCTCTATGGGTACAATAATACGATACAGTGAGTGTTGTCACCCTAGGAACCTAGTGCCTTAGATACTATTCATTGCCATCAGTCCCTGCCCTCAAGGAGCTAAAAATCTAAGCTCCCCGTCATAAATAGGGAGCATAGTCCTAACACTTCCTGTCCGGACCCTAGTGCCTTAGATACTATTCATTGTCATTAGTCCCTGCCCTCAAGGAGCTTACAATCTAACACTTCCTGTCCTGGGGTGACAACACTGCTCTTCTGTGGGTACAATAATACGATACAGTGTGTGTGTGTTGTCACCCTAGTGCCTTAGATCCTATTGATTCACATCATTACCTGCCCTCGAGGAGCTAACAATCTAAGCTCCCTGACATGCATAGGGAGCAAAGTCCTAACACTTCCTGTCCAAACCCTAGTGCCTTAGATACTATTCACTGTCATCAGTCCCTGCCCTGGGAGGAGCTTACACTCTAACACTTTCTGTCCTGGGTTGACAACACTGCTCCTCTATGGGTACAATACAGTGAGTGAGTGTTGTCACCCTAGGACAGGAAGTGTGTCTGGCAGATCACCGGTTTAAAAAAAAATATTTGTATTCTTGAGTTTAGATACACTTTAACAGGTATACTAGTAAATGTCAAATTGCACCCAGGCTTCCTCTGTGGAATTTCACTGAGCTGCTGTCACCCAAATGCGCAAGCACGGAATCAAGGGATTATAGAGCTGCAAAATTGCATATTTGGGGAACTCTAATGGGGTCATGAATTATATGCAGAGATTTCAACAACTGCAGTCAGCATACAGATTTATATTATTATTATACAGGATTTATATAGCGCCAACAGTTTGCGCAGCGCTTTACAATATAAGGAGGACATAACAATCACAGTACAATTCAAGACAAGATGGTAAGGAGGGCCCTGCCCCTGAGGGCTTACATTCTATATGATACATGAGGAGGTAGCTGTGTGGGGATGAATTGTTTGAGAACGTGATGGTTGAGCGGTTAGGTCGAGGTGGGATAGGCTTCCCTGAAGAGATGAGTCTTAAGGGATCACCTAAAGGCAGTCAGAGTGGAAGATAGACGGACAGGTTGGGGTAAAGAGTTCCAGAGAATGGGGGAGACTCTAGTGAGGTCCTGCAGGTGAGCATGGGAGGAGTTGACAAGGGGGCTAGAGAGCAGGAGGCCTTGGGAGGAGCGGACAGTTAGGGTGACACTTTGATCCAAGTTGGAGATATATCCGGGCAGGGGGGGGTCAGAGTTCTGGATGGCTTTGTAAGTGATTGTTAATATTTTGAATTTTATCCTTTGGGCTATTGGAAGCCAGTGGAGGGATCGGCAGATGGGAATGTAGACACTGACATTATATAATTATTATAGCACCGACATACTGTATACTCACATCAGCTTACACTCTAAGGTCCCCCTCTCACATGCATACAAACACATAATAGGGCCAATTAACCTTCCAGCATGACTTTGGAGTGTGGGAGGAAACCATAGAGAACAAGCAAAGTCTGCACAGATGGTGTCCTAGCCGGGATTCCAACTGAGGACCTCATTGCGGCACCATTAAGTCAAAACAACTTAGACTGGAGTTCTACTTAAACAATCAAGAAACATAATATATATTTAAGTGATGTCCATCGTTTTATGCTTTGCACATTAATCTACGCAGAGCATACATGAGTCATCTGGCCATTACATGTGTATACCCTTAAAACTTCATCGGCCCTGTAAGTGCCTTGCTGTCATGGCTACCGCTGGAATGTGCTGCTGCATCAGCGAGAAAAACAAATCAGTTGCACGCTTCAGCAGATTACAAATGAGCAGAGTGGTTATTTCTCACCTGAATGGTGTGGACAGCACAGTGTTAGGGGTCTGCACCACTTGTCGCTGCGGAGTGACCCCTGAGAAATCACTTTCGTGGAGGGGCGTGTTAAGCCCACCTTTTAAAGGGGTATCGACATTTGTAAGTGCCATCAAGTTCTGTGCTTCCTGCAAAACACACACAAAAAAAAAGATCACATTGTGTTCAAATCTTCAGTGATGTTTGATGCTCCATACAGAGGACACAGAGAAAACACCGGATGGGTGTAATTCAAAGAAACAAGTGCAGATCAGACACTCCATATGCTGGGTGATTATAGGATACTGTACACTGCATTACATGGGCTCAGTGAATATCGGAAACCGGGGTACCCGCAGGAAACCCGCATAAGAACATGCAAATTCCTTGCAGATAGTGACCTGACTGGGATTTGAACTGGGCCCCCCCCCACTGCTACAAGGCAGAAGAGCTAACCACTAGTGATGAGCCGAACACCCCCGAATACGAACTCAATACAAGTGAATGGGGGTCGAACGTTCGAAAATGAATGTCCCCTTTAAGAGAGCTTATACAGGCAGTCCCCGGGTTAAGGGCAATCCGTACTTACGAACCGGGTCCAAAGTTCTCCTAAATGTAGCGGCAGCTACCGGTACATTTAGGAGAACTGTGGCTGCAGCGGCCTGTGTCCCTTCAAATCCCCGTGCCTGTGTTGGTGGAGACAGCGGGGACACAGACCGCTGCATGCCTTCGCTGCCCCCCGTACCTCCGCTGCTGTCCCCTGGTCCGTCGGCTTCTTCTCCGATCCGGCCGCGGCTCCTCTGCCCCGCCCCCCCTGCTATTGGATATTGTAAAATGCAATAGCAAGCTGGCTATTGTACCCGCCCACTGCCTGCTGTCAATCAGCATGGGAGGACCTGATAGAGAACTTTCTCCTTCAGGCCCCTCCTCTGCTGAGCCCTGAATGGGCAAAGTCTTGCACCTGACCCTTGGTCAGGTGCAAGACTTTAACAAATCAGAGCTTCAGAGGGCATTTTGCATTATGGAATGTCCGCGGTCGAACAAACTGCGAACATTCCATAAAGTTTGGCGTTTGGCGAGCGCTCGAACTGCTGATGTTCGATTCCAACTCATGTTCGAATCGAACACTCGGCCCATCCCTACTAACCACTATGCCACTGTGCTGCCCAAATATCTACTCAGATGCACCTCTAACTAGCACAGGAAAGGTATACATTACACAATACAAAAGGTATACACTAAACAATACAAACATCCTTAGCCCTCCATCCAGCACAAAACATATTTTAAAGTTTAGGTCAAATAACAGCCAATACATGCAAAGCCATGCTGCCATGTCTGCAAAGAGCGATCAATGCCATCCGTTTTAGGAGAAAGGGGCACGTTTGAAAAGACTAAATAATATCTTCACATTCCCCCGGCTTCTTCCTGGCGTGCCTAGACGCGGGGTGACATTATCCTCCTTCCGGACAGATCCCAGAGAACGTTGAGCAGCCCAGATCTCACAAATGATGATCCTGTGCGGTGCTGCACACAAGATTTGGGCTACTCAGCACTCCCGGGATCTTGCAGGCAGGAGGATGATGCGACCCATTGTGCAAGAGAAGTCGGAAAAAGGTTAGTACTTCTGCCTTGCAGCATTGGGGGTCTCCGGTTCAAATCCTGGTCAGGACACTATCTGCAGGAGCTCCGCCTCCTGTGACAGCGCTGGCTGTCTCCGCCCACACACCGCTCTGCCGATCTGTGACAGGAGGCTGAGCGGTGCGGGGAGGAGAGACGCCGGCCGCCTGTGACAGTTTCTCTCCTCCCCGCTGGGACACAGAGCAGCGCCCAGTGAGGAAGAAAGAAAGCATGGATGCACCGCTATATCGGCCAGAAAATGGCACTTTTGGCATTTTAAATTATCACTAGGGATGCACCGGTATATCGTCCTTTGAAACGGTGGACGATATACCGGTGCATCCCTAGTGATGATTAGCTGAATTTAGAGAGACAAAGAGAGCATACATATTTTAGCATATTTAGATGTATGGATG